GGTTCTGAAGGGCTGGCTGTAGGTCACACAGAGGACTCCGGTCCGTAGGCTCGTGACCTGAAGTATCAGTCATTCAGCCCACGAGCCTACGGATCAACAGCTGGTTCCGTGTCGGTCTGAACCCTGAGAGCTCATCTCCCAAGCAGAAGCAAGGCCGCGGCCCACGATTTGCATTGGTCGGTGTCCCTGAAACAGTGATCGAGCTGCTGTGCCGGCCAGAGGCCCACAGTGCCTAAACAGGGGTCATGCGTCAGCAAGTGGCCGTAAGTCCGTCACGAGCTTTGTTTGAGGAGGCCCGAAGAGGGACCGAAGGACCCCTGGGGAGCAAAGACGAAGGGCCCGATTGGACGGCTGGAGGGGCCGAGAGGCCAGAAGGAATGGGCATAGGTCACAATAAGCATGGCCTCCTGCCCGTAAGGCCGCTGTCTCAAATGCCATTCAGAGCGCCGCTTACATTGATTGGGAACCCGTGGGACAGTGCGGGCCTCTATTTCGGCCAGAGACAGCCAACACCGAACTGTCGGCTTCGTGTCGGTCTGACCCTTGAGGGTCCGTTTCCCAAGCACAAGCAAGGCTGTGCTTTGCATTGGTCGCGTTCCTGAAACAATGGGGATATGTATCGGCCACGGCACCCACAGTGGTCCTGTGTCGGCAAGTGACCCGGGTTTCCAGGATCCGCGTTTGAGGGGACTCGAAGGGGGCCTGAAGAGCCCCCCGGAACCAAAGATCAAGGGCCTGATTGAAAGGCTGAGGGGCCCGAATGGTTGGCTGTAGGCCACATTGGGAACCCCCGCCCGAAGAGGTATGAGCTCAAATGTCAGTTAAAGGGCCCCTTGCACGGATCGGGAACCTCTCAGACAGTGCGTTCCTCCGTTTCGGCTAGAGATCGCCAAAACCGAACACCCAGCTCCGTTTCGGTCTGAGCTCTGGGGGCCCATTTCCCAAGCAGAGACAAGGCCGGGTCCGCTATTCGCATTAGTCGGAGCCTCTGCAACAATGCAGGGCTCCTGTGTCAATCAGGCGCCCACAGTGCCTAATCGAGTGTCCTATATCAACAAGGGGCCTATCCCGATTGCTAGAGGGCCTCTTGCTTTGGTTGGTGGCCTCTAACAATGAAAGGAAACATGAGAACATGCGATGAGTCTTCATTGAGGCAATGGAAGAGTCCTGTGTTAGTCAGGGCCCCTCAGTGCCGAAAGGTGGGCCCTCCAACCCAATGCCGACATGGACCCGCTTCTGTCTTACTGGTAGGGGCCCGTTAAGCCGAACTGGGAGCTATGTGCCAATTATTGGACCACCTGCGGCGATCAGGACTCTTGTTGCGTCAATGTGGGTTCCTGCGTCTATCCGGCATCAAGTGCACAGGTCAGAAGCCTTTTGCGTCCGGGAGTGGACCAATGTGATATCATGCACCTTTCTAAGGGGCTCCGGGTCGATCAGGGGACCCCAGCCCCTGTATCGTCAGAATGACAACCGGAAGGCACCCCGCGCTGGGACGGAATGGCCCTTCAACCCATGGACGGGGTGATAATGTGCCCTGTATGGTTCTACTCAAGGAGAGCTTTCGCCTGCATAAAGTAAGAAACTTAATTGGTGTTGAATAGGGTGGGTTCAAATAATTTAAAAAAGTCAACCCATGTTTGCCTAGCGGTGTTCATTCCTTTGCAGAATAGAGTTGTGCAACAAATCCCAAAGAGAAAATTCCGAGCCTGTGCAATCTCGGGAGCAAAAACAGCGATGGCCGCTGTTGCAGTTTTCGCAAAGCACAACGGCGTTGACCATCGTTAGTTAGACCAGGCAGTGGGTGCCGTGTACACCAGATCGACCGTCTTGAAACGATGCTTCCAAAAGTCTCAAGGCAAGTCCGCACTCCTAAAAATTAGACTGGGGCATATCTTTTTACAATTTTGTGGTTATAACCAGACAGATGAATGGTTAAAACAACGCGAAAAATAGAGGCATTTTACCTTTAGTCTGCCAATTCCACCACCATATTTTCGGCATCCATTTAACAACGCCTAGTATTAGCTACAGGGCAGAAACCGAACAGCCTACTGCGACTGCAACGCCGGGCGTCAAGGTTTTTGTCGCCAAGATTTTCGAGCGTGCATACTCAAAAACACTCTACACTTCTTCTCACAAATGTATTCTGAATGAAAGCTGAAAATTGCTGGGCAAAAACATGTGTTGGCCATGTTAATGCAAGTTATTGGCCCATTTCAATCTATAATATACGTTCACGGCTTCCTCAACTGCTCTGCGGAGTCGCGACCGAAGTTCCGGCAAAGCTCCTGCGTTCTTTCGGTTTAGAAGTAGTCGATGAATCATTGTGAAATGAAGAGCGCCGGTGGTTGATTTGTTCCATGCTGGCGCTTACCGCACGATTTATTCAGCTCGGGCCGCTGTGATCACCGACGGCTGACTGTCGGGCCGCTGTGATAACCGACAGCTGACTGTCGGGCCGCTGCGATCACCGACGACTGACTGCCGGACCGCTGTGATCACCGGCGGCTGACTGTCGGACTGCTGCGGTCACCAACGGCTGACTGTCGGACCGCTGTGATCACCGACGGCTGACTGTCGGACCGCTGCGGTCACCAACGGCCGACTGTTGGACCGCTGTGATCATCAACGGCTGACTGTCGGACCGCTGCGTTCACCAACGGCCGACTGTCGGACCGCTGTGATCACCGACGGCTGACCGTCGGACTGCTGCGGTCACCTACAACTGACTGTCGGGCCGCTGCGGTCACCAACGACCGGCTATCGGACCGCTGTGATCACCGACAGCTGACGTCGGGCCGTCGCGCTCACCTACAACTGACTGTCGGGCCGCTGCGGTCACCAACGGCCGACTGTCGGACCGCTGTGATCATCGACAGCAGACGTCGGACCGTCGCGCTCACCTACAACTGACTGTCGGGCCGCTGCTGCGTTCGCAGTTGAAAGGAATACCGCTTTCTGCCCCGCGCGACACAAGGTGGCGGTAGACAGGGAGGACCGAGAAGACTGGGAGGACTTGATGAAACGGCAAGACCGGGAAGACTAGGCAGACCGGGTGGACCAGGAGGATCGCGGAGACCAGAAGGACCCGAACGACCGGGAGGACCGAGCGGACCGGATGGACTGAGAGGGCCAGCCGAACCGGATGGACCGAGCGGACCGGGAAGACGGGGTGGGATGGGGGGGGACCTCTCGGACCAGTGAGCCGGGAGGACCCAGTCTAGGACTGCACGTCCAGCACCAATCAGGCGCCGGCGCTTGACCGGTCTCGTAGCCGCGCCGCTGAAGCCCGCGGTCACTGCGCCGGCGCACGGCCGCGGCGGCGGCTAGGGCACGCTCCCACCGACAGCGGACGGCGTACCAAATGGAAGCCCGTAAGAGGTTCCCACGGACCTCGGCTCTTGCACCCGAGGGTTCCCCTCCCCGAGGGCAGGTCCCATGGCCAGAGGCAGGCTTGGATTAGGTTACCACTAGAGCCGTTAATATGTTTTATGGGAAAGGGAAGAGTGGGGCAACACTGGTGCCAGCAATTGTCCCGCTATGTTTGTGGTGGTCAAGTACACCAAAAGGTGTTACAATAAAGTACACCAATTAAAGATAGGGAGTACACCAAATATATTTTCACATCTTCCCCTTAATCGTGGAATGCTGAAAGATCCCAAATAGTAAATGATTGGCACGGATCGATATGATTTAGTATGAGAGCATTCGCAAATTAGGTGTGTTCATCTGTGAAATCACCTGCCGCTTCACCCGGATCCATCGAAGGATAATCAGCCGATATGATATGGTGTGACTTGGGTAGGCGATGGCACAGTATTTCCACTCCATGACTTCACGCTGCTCTTTTACCGTTGCGATTTGTCCCAACTTGCTTTTCCATCGTGCGATATAGTCCTTTATTCCATGCAAACCGTCCAAGTTATTGTAATAGACCGGACTGAGTAAGCAACAGTCCAGTCCGGCCGCTCGGCCTGGAGGTCCCGCAGCGCGTCCTCCGCCCACCCGGCCGCCGCGCCGGACGTGATCACGTCTGGCACGGGGTCACTGCTATTGACCCTGCCGGTTCTCCTTCGTTTCTCCAGCGTTCGTCCCACTTAAGCGCGTCCGGCGGCCGGCTCGCCCGCCGCCATGAGCGCGCCAATAGTGGGTCAGTAAACCGAGCAACAGCGCCACGACGGCGCGGCGGCCGCCGGCTGAACTAGTGCACCGCCAAGCTCCGATTCACGTGTAGTGGAGCGCCGGACGCACAGGAGGTGGCACGCGGGGTCCTCGCGTATGGAGAGCGGTGACTTGGCAGTGACTTGTAGGCGCTGGACTCCGATGAAACTCACGGGGAGGCTTCAGACCGCTGAGCTGAGATGGTAGTTGTTCGTGACCTGTGACACCAGGCCCAGGACCCGTCCTCCGCCGAAACATCCGTGCTGCTGCCCGGTCGAGCGGACACCACGCACTGGCCGCCCCCGCCGCGCCGCGCCGGCAGCAACGCACACGTCCGTGCCTGAGCGCTTGCACAGCGCCTCGGCGATGCAGCCTGAGGAGCCACGGTGCCTCCGTGACGCAGTTTGAGGAGCCGCGGTGCCTCCGTGACGCAGTTTGAGGAGCCGCGGTGCCTCAGTGACGCAGTTTGAGGAGCCGCGGTGCCTCCGTGACGCAGTCTGAGGAGCCGCGGTGCGACTGACGGGGAACCGGCCGTGGCGAGGCTGCCGCGGGCGGACCTGGATTGTGGCGGGTCAGTGACGCAGACCTGGAGTGTGCCGGGTCAGGTGACGCAGACCCGGAGTGTGACGGGTCAGGTGACGCGAAGTGTGCCGGGTCGCAGTTAGCGAGACGGTGACGTGGGAGTCGGGAGTGCAGTAGAACCGGAGTGTGGTGGGAAGAGTGCGGAGGCGCCGAGTGTACCTGCAGGTGGAGCAGCGCGCGCCAAGCGCGTCCGGGGTATGGGCCGATACAGACGGGACTGCTGCGGCGGAACACGGCAGTGACCCATGGCAAATATGACGGAGCTCATCGACCCGGCACGCTTCGCCGACAGCTTCGGGGTGAGTCTCAATCCAGCCACTGCCACCAGGTGGAGGTGACCTCTAATTGTTCGCGGCGGCCAGGGCGCGTCTTTATCACTGCGTTACGGTGCTTCGGCTGAAGGGGACGATGAAGTTGATTGAGGCGTCGTAGACGGACAATTACAAAGCGAATCAAAGGGATCAATGGCCGTTTATTTCTCGCTCTACGACACTTCAATCAATGTGATCATTTTGTTTTGTAATCTACATCCGGGGTTCAAATTACCTTGACCCGACGCATCAGCATGTCGTGACGGGACGGGACGTTAGAGGAGGGTCGGAGGGCGTCGGTGACCCGACGCATCGGCGTGCCGTGATGGGACGGCACGTTAGAGGAGGGTCAGGGGGCGTCGGTGACGCGACGCATCGGCGTGCCGTGATGGGACGGCACGTTAGAGGAGGGTCAGGGGGGCGTCGGTGACCCGACGCATCGGCGTGCCGTGATGGGACGGCACGTTAGAGGAGGGTCGGAGGGCGTCGGTGACCCGACGCATCGGCGTGCCGTGACGGGGCGGCACGTTAGAGGGGGGTCGGAGGGCGCCGGTGACCCGACGCATCGGCGTGCCGTGACGGGACGGCACGTTAGAGGAGGGTCGAAGGGCGTCGGTGACCTGTACTCTGCGCGTGACCTTGGAGCAGGCATCACGGCCACAGTGCCTCGCCGTATTTGGCGCATCTGATGGCGACCTTGGTGTGATGCCTCGGGCGGAACCGGGCCGCGCGCACCTGTCTATCGCGGATCATCTATGCATTCCACCTGCGACTGAGGGAGCACCGTAGCCACCTCAATTACCAACAACGCCAGCATTCCCGTGGTATTCAAAACACTTTTCTGCAACTAATTTACCGATAAAAAACCACAAACCTCTGAAATGTGTCTCTAAAGACTACATTTGTTTACCCTGTGTCGATGAGCGCCATGTCCGCGCCAGCCGAGTTCAAGGGAGCTGGAGCCACCCGCTGGGCGGCCTCTGGCTCCCAGATGGTGCGGCTGGCAGCGCTGCCGGCACCGGCGCGGCGGCCGCTGACCTCGCCTGTGCCGCCGGTGTGCCGCCGACCCTCGGCTCGCTGCCGCGGCCCACCCCAGCCGGCCGCGGCACAGGCCAAGGCAGGGCACCGCCGCACGCCTGTCGTTCCGAGCTCCACCCTCCCCTCCCCGCCACGGACCGCCGCCGCCGCTGAATCCCGCTTCCGGTCTGGTCGTGAGCAGTGGGACGCTTGTCCCGCACGAGTGTGTAATATGCATACAGTATGGCACGTTGTTGTGTTCGGCCGGTGGTGAGGGGCAGAGTCAGGGCGGGACCCCTGAGCGGCACCGGGTCTTTCAGAGCGGGACCGGGCTGGTCAGAGCGGGACCGGGTCTGTCAGAGAGGGACCGGGTCTGTCAGAGCAGGACCGGGTCTGTCAGAGCGGCACCGGGCCCGTCAGAGCGGGACCGGGTCTGTCAGAGCGGGACCGGGCCGGTCAGAGTGGCGAGGAGCACTGCTTGGGAGCCGGGGCCGTACCTGTGGCTTGGAGCCCAGAGACAGCGCAGCGTTTAGGCTGGTCGGACTGCAAGATCAACCTGAGCCCGTGTCGGTGCCTACTGACCTACCCCACGCCGGAAACAAACGTTTCAATGATGCCTCTGAGCCGCCGGTTGCTGACATGCTAATTTGGCCTACTTGGTCCCGTACTCCTTTCAAATATTGCTTCCCGTCTGCTTTTGAGTATTTTTGATTCTCCGATAAGACGATCACAAAGGAAAAAACTAAACCAGCGATATCTTTGTTGGTGCTGAAATAGCACTGATGTTCCACATTGTTCCTGTTCTGCCAGCTGCGCCACGAATTGGTACTGGTTAGCACACGTGTTAAGGCTGACCTAGCTACAAGGTCAGGCGCGCCATCACAACCGCTGGGCAATGTCGACGATCCCGCTCCAGGCAGGCCGTCTTGCGGCGCGCCTGCCGTTCCCGCCTGCTAACCACATGTAGCGGTATGTGGACCAGTTGCTGCAGCAAACACGCTGTCCGGCACCGCTGGGCTGCGGTGAAACCCGGTCGCACTACTGCGCCGTCAGCTGACCGAGACGGGACGGACGGCATGGGCCGTGTGGGGTGGCGTCTCTAACGCAACACAAGCCAGCAACGCCTAGGCATTCTTGCAACGGGCTTTGCTTGTGTTCTTAACAAGCACAGCCCAGAAAGGAAGCGCTTACCGTGCACGATCAAGAGTACATCCCGGAGGACACCAAGCAACGAACCGCATATTTCAGCGGCCAATATATATATATATATATATATATATATATATATATATATATATGAGAACAATTGTGTAACAGAAGGAAACAGCAGCAGGCCCATGTAGCATAGGAACCAGGCAATTTACTCATGTCCAATTATTTTGTGGGTTAAGAGCGAACCTCACTAACCTCCACCACCCCACCCGCTCACCAGACATACCGATCCAAAGAAGTTCCTTAAACGTTAACCTTAGCCTGGCCCTCACTTTTTAAAGCGTTCCTACCCCTAAAAGTGAAGTAAACGCCTAAATCCTAATGGTAAACGCATTCCAACGCAGGGGGCGTACGCTTGCAGTAACCGCCAGGGACAGATTCTGTCGCCAAATATGTTGCATACATGCGAGTAAACACATGTTCACACGTGACAATTCAGGGTAGCAAGGTGTGACAATTCAAGGTAGCAAGGTGCGACAATGCAAGGTAGCAAGGTGTGACAATTCAAGGTAGCAAGGTGTGACAATTCAAGACAGCAAGTAAAACTATGCAAATCAAAAGCTGCTGGTGTTGTTTTACAGCAGGTGCGATTTCATGAGCCTACAGTGCGCTTGCTTTGGCTTCTAATGATTGTGCCCACCCCGTACCCCCACCCCATGACGAATTCCTACGTCACCTCTCCCCCCAAGTCTGACCTCGAGTGCACGTACAGAGATGAGCGACATACTATCTAAGATTTCCCGCATTGCTGTTGCAGCCCCCCCCCCCCCCACCCCCAATACAGCCGAACGGGTGCAGGGTCCGAGCTGGTAGCTGTCACTGCCGCCGCTGACGGCCGAGGGTCGAGCGTCGAGCGCCGCTGACGGCCGAGGGTCGAGCGCCGCTGACGGCCGAGGGTCGAGCGTCGAGCGCCGCTGACGGCCGAGGGTCGAGCGCCGCTGACGGCCGAGGGTCGAGCGTCGAGCGCCGCTGACGGCCGAGGGTCGAGCGTCGAGCGCCGCTGACGGCCGAGGGTCGAGCGTCGAGCGCCGCTGACGGCCGAGGGTCGAGTGCCGCTGACGGTCGAGCGTCGAGCGCCGCTGACCTGTGTGGATCGAGCGCCGCTGACGGCCGAGCATCGAGCGCCGCTGACGGTCGAGCGTCGAGCGCCGTTGACCTGTGTAGATCGAGCGCCGCTGACGGCCAAGCTGGGCTCTCTGCCAGGCGTCGGTCCGCACCAGCTGGGGACGCGACCGCGTCACACCGTGACACGTGCCATCTGCGGCGCTCACGCCCAGCCGCCGCGTCATCTCCTGTCCCCGATTCGGGTCTGCCGTCTCTATGGACCGCGGTCCCCATTTCTGGGCTCGAATGCGCGTTGAGCAGACCCGCTTCGTCGCCGCGTCATCACGCGCCACGGTCGGCGGCCGCCATCGTCATCAGTGTCGGGCCACGTAATGCGTGGAGACCCTGCGGGCCGGTCACATGCGCCGCAGTCAGTAGCGGCGACGATCAGCCCGATCGTCATCCGGGCTCACGCACCTCCTCAGACTGCCGAGACATGCTGTGGCTTCACGCGCAGGTGCGGTGAGCGTGGCGGTGAGCGCCAGCCAGGCAACGAGGTGGCCATGTGTTGGCCGTTTTTGTCGATTGGAACGGGACTGTGCGCGCAGAGGAACGGCGCTGGAGGAGGTGGTCACGCACGATCGGACCCACTCGACGTGAAAGGGGAGAGACGCGACTGACTTTCACTTCCCACCACCGCTTTCGATGTTCCGCGAAGAGAAGATCCCGACCGGTTTTTTTTGGTTGACGTGTCTGTGTCACACATGGACAAGAAACGTGTGAAGGCTGAGGGTGCGGCTGAGAGGTGCGCTGCTCCCACCAGGCAGCGTCATTGGTACCAAGCGGCAGTTGCCGGCGTGGTGTCGCTTGGTTGACCGGCTAAACCACATCTGTTCTTGAAACCGCGACCGTTGGTGAAATTGCGCCCACCATTGGAAAGATGACATCTGCAGCCGACATCAGCCTAGAGCGGCGCCGTGGGCTCAGTCGCACTCACGGCCGGGCAAACGCTTGGCAAAACCTCTGAACCACATGGCGCCTACCGTCGCCCAGCTGCAGCGGTATCGGCCGCTGTTAGCGGCGTGTCAAGTGTGTCATGTGTCAGAGGACTGCTGGGTCCAGACAGCGGCAGGTGGTGGCCTGGATCGGACCTGTCCCAGTGGTCAGGCGGCAGCCACCGCCCGGTGGCGAGGCCCCGGTGATGAGGCCCCGGTGGTGAGACCCTGGTGATGAGGCCACGGTGGCGAGGCCCCGGTGATGAGGCCCCGGTGGCGAGGCCCCGGTGGCGAGGCCCCGGTGATGAGGCCCCGGTGGTGAGACCCTGGTGATGAGGCCCCGGTGGCGAGGCCCCGGTGATGAGGCCCCGGTGATGAGGCCCCGGTGGCGAGGCCCCGGTAGTGAGGCCCGGTGGTGAGGCCCCGATGGTGAGCCGCCAGTGGACGCCATGCCTCAACGCCGGCCTGACGCCGACGCTCGCCGAGAAGTCACGTCAGCATGGTACTGGCTGTGGCTGTCTGCCGGCTCGTTTATCGCCGTGTAAGAGGGCCGTGTGAAACCGGATGTTGCATGCCGAACAACGGTGTGAGCTTCTGTACATGGGTGCCTGATGGGTACCTAGTTGTCTGTTGCGTGTTTGCTGCTGTTGCGATTTATGTCGAACCCAGGAGAGCTTAATAGGGAAGTGAGGAGAACGCGCGAGAAACGGATTTGGCAAAGGCATTGATAAAGCTTGTTCAGGCCAATAGACTAGATGAAGCAGTTAAACGTTCACCATTCTAATGGTTTTCGGAATTCTTTGCGTTTTGAGACGCTGGACGTGGAACCGGGGACCGGCCGGTGGTTAAGCAAACAGACACCTGAATTTCTGTTCATGACATGACGTTCTTACAATGATAATTCAAGGGTTTGTTTAGCGGGTCACGGTGACCAGGCAGTGGTAAATCAATGTCACAGGCTATTGCGGTCATGCGCCATGTAAGGTAACAAGTCGTCGGTAACAGTGACCATGTTGGTCATACCTCATCGAAAACGTAAGCAGGTAAGGTCTATTTTCGTTGGCCAGGGCCATGTATGCAGGAGAAGGCAGCAATAATAGCAGTGGCCGCCATATGACGCGAAAAACGCTGTGTCAGCCAACGCCTGCGACGGTGGGTTCACAGGCATGTGGCAGGTAATCAATTGTTGTTGTTTATTATCTTACCCTAGCAGGTCATGAGTGAACGTCATGCGTCTTTATTTGCCTTCTCAGTGTTCAGTGTGTCCGACAGGCTCCAGATTATCTTTATAGGCGGGATATCAGCTGGATATTAGGCTCTGTTCCAGGACTAAAACTTTGGCTCGTTGGCCCATTTTGGGGACACGGCCTCGCCTTTAGTCACCCAAACTGGTCCTCTGTTCACCAAATCCTGCACATCGATATAGGTGCACTGCATGCGTGCTTTCTACGGCGGAGATTCTAAACGGAAGAAAATATCCGAAACTACCCCGCATGAGGAAAAAATGAACATCTCTGTGTACACCGTTCGTAGTGCATATGCTTGGATCCTAGCAATAGAGCGCGGAATGTGAACAGCTGGATTACAGCTATTCTGAGACCCGAAACAAATTTTGAGGGTGTACCCGAAGGATATCTCAGGTTTTGCACCATTTCGGAGTTTTGCCGAAAGATCTTTGAGGATCCAAAGCGTTTTTGATAGTTTTGTTGCAGGCAATACCGGAATATCTGACCAAGCTTGATACGCCAGCCCGTGCTGGGACGGAATGACCCTTCATCAGTCCTTTGCCGGGAACGATAATGTGCCCCGAGTGTGTTGCCCACGGAACCCCTTCCCCGCGAAAGGTGAGGACACGGACGTCGGTTTGCATTCTTCTGGGCTGGCCACTTACCCCGTCCATGCCCATTTTACCCCTCCCCCACGGTAAGTTTGGCCTCCCAACCTTCTGGTGCCTGAGTAAAGCAGGGCAAGGCAAATGGGGTATCGAAACAATATCAGCTGTACAGAAGGTTCTTATTATTTCACAGGGAAAAGGAACAAAGAACATGAAATTGCCATATCATATTCAATGACTAACTTTCTGTTTTTCCTGCGTGGCTACAAACCAAAGAATCCCGTAGATGAGTACCCGCTCCAGTTATCAACGCCGACCTTTCCCACACGGTTCACCAGCGCACGCACGTCGGAGCGTCTGGTCAACTCACCGGCTGATTCGCACGAGGCAGAGCTGGAACGGTGCGTCCCAGCCGGCGGCGACGTTACCGGCCTGCTGCTAGCGGCTGCCTCGCCGCCTGTGCCGTTTCAGTACAATTTCAGCTGCAAAAACGACGTTCGGCGCACAGGTGCGCCGTGCTTGTCACGACAAACCGCGTCCAGTTCGATGACCTGACTACGGGTTAGTGAGATACAACGGAGAGGTGTGTTGGGGTGCGCCTGTGCGGGGCCCGGCTGGTCAGCTATCCTGGCAGGAGCAGCTCCTACTGAACCCCGGTCGTCGCCTGCTGCGGTGGCTTGCTGTCTTATGGGGTGTGTCTGTGCGGGGCCCGGCTGGTCAGCTATCCTGGCAGGGGCAGCTCCTACTGAACCCCGGTCGTCGCCTGCTGCGGTGGCTTGCTGTCTTATGGGGTGTATCTGTGCGGGGCCCGGCTGGTCAGCTATCCTGGCAGGAGCAGCTCCTACTGAACCCCGGTCGTCGCCTGCTGCGGTGGCTTGCTGTCTTATGGGGTGTGTCTGTGCGGGGCCCGGCTGGTCAGCTATCCTGGCAGGAGCACCTCCTACTGAACCCCGGTCGCCGTCTGCTGCGGTGGCTTGCTGTCTTATGGGGTGTATCTGTGCGGGGCCCGGCTGGTCAGCTATCCTGGCAGGAGCACCTCCTATTGAACCCCGGTGGTGTCTGCTGCAGTGGCGTGCATGCTTGTGTTGTGAATGTAAGCCGAACGGCACGCGGCCGACCTAATGCAGCATGGAGCATGGAGCAATGCAGCATTCTCTTTATGAACAGTACAAATCATAGATGGAAAAGATGCGCGAGGAAATTCCATGAAGCTTTAAGTGCCGAGAGTATTTTGCACCAGCATAAGTAATGACACTTTTGCATGCCCGTCACGGGCTACTCGGGACACCGCCACTCGGTGTTACGATCTTTAATAGCACAGCACCCCAAATAAGGTCAAAGGAAGATATGTCTTCTGTTGCTCAATAAGAACACTAAAAGATGTAGCCTGTCGTCATAAGTGCCATTTATTTTAAAACACAATTTCCGTGCGAAAGGCGCATGAAGCAATCGAGTAGCTCTACTATGGAGACGATGGTGCGTCAGGCGGTGTTTGCACATAACTTACATGCCATATCGTATCAGCGAGCCTTCTTTTAGCTGGAACCCCGTGCAGTGATACTGGTATGAGTTGAAATTGTCGCCAAATGTTTTGCTCAGCGCAGATTCAGCTGACGCCATCTATGTAGGTGGCGCCAGCTGAAACTCCGCTCTGCTTGGTCGCTTAGTCACTTGCTCTCTGTGAGCAGCGCCGCTCACGACCACTGTACTGTGCTGCCACCTATCAGCGGATGTGACATTAAGATGGTCGCAGAGAACCTTTCGGGTTGTTTGAAAACTGACTTTGGAAGTATTGCTTTCGCGTGAGTAAGAAGAGAGGTTTTCTAAATGACCACCACTGCCATGTTTCTCGAAAACATTGACGAAAACATTGCTACGTTTTGTGTCCTACGTAGGTCTGCGTGTGGTGCACACGAAGACACCAACACGAACACCGCCCCACGTCAGGTCTGCGTGTGGTGCACACGCAGACACCAACACGAACACCGCCCCACGTCAAGTCTGCGTGTAGTGCACACGCAGACACGAACACGAACACCGCCCCACGTCATGTCTGCGTGTGGCGCTGAATTCAGAAGTGGCCCTATCGGGTACATGCCCCCCACGTTATCCACTGTAGCTGTTTTGGGAGATGACCATACGACCCCACCGAGTCGTCTGTCATGTCATCTGAGCTCCGGCCTCTGTACTCAGACCTCCATTGTCTGCTACGAGAACGACTTGCGATGGTCGGTCATCAGGTGTCAGGACGTGGCGGCAGTCCTCCTGCCGTTGCTCAGCAGAATTCCGACACACACACACACACACACACACACACACACACACACACACACACACACACACACACACACACACACACACACACACACACACACACCACACACGGACACACACTCACACGGACACACACGCACACGGACACACACGCACACACACACACACACACACACACGCACACACACACACACACACACACACACACACACACACACACACACACACACACACACGCGCGCGCGCGCGCGCGCGCGCCCCCGCACGCACTCAAATATCAGTCAGATGGCTCTTGCTTTGGTCGGTCGGAATACTGGAGTAGGAACAGGAACAACATGTTCATGAGATGGGCACAGGGACGGATAGATATGCATAACCCATGCATCTCGCTGATCAGCTGTCATGAAAGAGTTGCCACCTTTTCATGTGTTTTGGGATTGGGATGGGGTGGGGTGGGGTGGGAGAGGGCGTCTAACACTCAAATGTCTGCCACCTTGACGGGTCTTCCAAAATAGCTTAAAGATTCCGGTGATCCATTCACGCCGTGATAGGACGCGGAACGCACCGTTTTTGGTTGAGCTCCTGCCCGGGCCGTCAGCTAACAGTACCACAATGACTTGGAGCATCCCTCACATTCATGCTGGCCGGCGCGTTCGGCTGCTGCGCGTGGGATGGGCCCAATTTGTGCCGGTCCGACAGCCAGCCACCGAGACGGCCATTAACTCGCCGGTACGACCCGTTTTCGGTACGGCCCGCTGTCGGTGCGGCCCGCTGCCGGTACGGCCTGCTGTCGGTACGGCCCGCTGCCGGTACGGCCTGCTGTCGGTACGGCCTGCCGTCGGTACGGCCCGCTGTCGGTACGGCCCGCTGCCGGTACGGCCTGCTGTCGGTACGGCCTGCTGTCGGTACGGCCTGCTGTCGGTACGGCCTGCTGTAGGCACGGCCCGCTGCCGGCACGGCTGCTGTCGGTACAGCCTGCTGTCGGTACGGCTGCTGTCGGTACGGCCTGCTGTCGGTACGGCCTGCTCCCGGTACGGCCTGTTCCCAGTACAGCTTGCTGCCGGTACAGCGGCCCGGCCCTGACCAACAGTGGCAGCGCCATAGCGGTGTCACGGTACGCTGCACCTACCTGCCCATTCCGTGGTGTGCTGTGTTTAACGGTGCAGTATTGGTATTCTGTGCCGCGGCGTGACTACGGTTTGTCGCGGGGATGTTCTTCGGTCGAGCACCAGCTGTTGTATCACTTTTCAGGATATGTTCCTCACGTTCTATCATATGACGTCTTCTTGCGCTGTGATTCACTGTTCGCTCCTCCTTGTCCAGTCATGTTCGATACCGTTTCTTGTCTTATCTTGTCCTCTCCTGTCCTCTGCTATCCTCTCCCGCTCTACGCAGACTTATATTCTCATCCTTTGTCCGATCCTGTCGCCATGTCCTCTCTTCCCTGCCCTGCCCTGCCCTGCCCTGCCTCACCCTGTCCTGTGCTGTCTTGTCCCGTGCTGTCCTGTCATGTCCCGTCCTCTGTTGTTCCCTCAGGAGGCGCCCGTCGCGCTCTTCTCGCTCGATCTGTCGGCCATCTGGCAGCCGAGGTACGGCAGCCCGCGGGGCGAGCAGCGGCTTAGTTGTCCGCGCCGCCCCGTCACGGATGTGTGCACCGCACCCGCCGCCGAGCGCCGGTCAGGTGCGGCGCGCGCGCGGGAGAGGTCAACGCTCACCGAGGCGGCGGCGGTGGGATCGGACCGGCGCGCGCCAAGAGCGCGCCGCTCGGGGCGGCTGGGGCCGCCAGCGAGACCGAAACGCCTGTCTGGGAGTCATCAGGAGCCATGCCTGACACTGGAGCCGCGCTTGGCACTCGGGCCGTGTCTGACACTAGGGCCATGCCTGGAAGTGGGACCGTGCCTGGTACTGGAGCCTTACTTAGCACTGGGACAGGCACGGCTCCCGTGTCTGACACCGGGATCGTGCTTGGCACTGGAGTGGTGCCTGGCACCGGAGCCATGCCTGGCACTATAGCCGCGCCTGGCACTGGAGCCGTGTTCGGAACTGGAGTCGTGTCTGGCACTTGGCAGCGGGAGGCAGCACTTCCAGAAGGCCTCCGTGGCCAAATGTGTCTTCTCGTAGGAGGCCCCCGGCCAGTGTCTTATTGAAGGGAAGGGACACCCAGGGTATGCGCCTCATTATCAAATGGTTACATGCATCCTATCCAAGTAAATCAATGCTGACATTGAAAACATTTCAGAATGAGACCCTTCTGATTCCCTAGCAAAGGGTCTCGCTGTCCCAAAACAGGGCCACCTATTCTAGAAAAGGGCCGCATGATGGATGGACCTCCTAGTCCAGAATAGCATGCTATTGATTCAAAAAGGAGGCCCCAAGTTCTGGCCAGGGCCCTCGCTATCACAAAACAGGGCACCCTGATCCGGCCCCGCGGCCGTTTGATACATGAAGAGGCCTCCTGTTACAAAACTGAGCCTTCTAATTACAGAGGGTGCCTCCTAAACAAGAACAGGGGCCTCCTATTTCATAACGGGGGGCGGGGGGGGGGGCTCTAGGGCCAGAAAAGAAGCCTCATTAGTATAGCATTGAGCATACTAAACTGGAGCATTCGCTACGTTGTTCATAAAAGGTGACCTCATGATCCAGAAATGTGGCCCCATGATGTAGGAATGTCCTCCGATGAAAAAGGTCAGTGCTATAGCTCAGTTAAAGAATGGTCAAGGGTCTTCTGATTAAAGAGTTCAATACTATAGTTCAGTTGTGGAGGCCTCCTTGATCCGAACTTCGGTAACATGCGAGCTGCCGCAGTGCCTTCAGTTTGGAATACGGCCTGCACAAAAGGTCTGAGGGGAAAAAACATGCGCTTCCCCGCCTGTCGGCAGAGGGGAAACTGCTCCCCTGTCTCCCCTGCTGCGCCGCCCCTGGGTGGAGTGCATTACTGAGGCGATGTAAACAACGCTGGCAACATGCATTTGATAGCGGCCATGCCATGGTTTGACGGTATGAAGGCAGTCAAGCGCGTGTGCGAGGCCGGTGTTATGCCACAGGTCACGGATAAGGCCGGTGTTATGCCACAGGTCATGGATAAGGCCGGTGTTATGCCACAGGTCATGGATAAGGCCGGTGTTATGCCACAGGTCACGGATAAGGCCGGTGTTATGCCACAGGTCATGGATAAGGCCGGTGTTATGCCACAGGTCACGGATAAGGCCGGTGTTATGCCACAGGTCATGGATAAGGCCGGTGTTATGCCACAGGTCATGGATAAGGCCGGTGTTATGCCACAGGTCATGGATAAGGCCGGTGTTATGCCACAGGTCATGGATAAGGCCGGTGTTATGCCACAGGTCATGGATAAGGCCGGTGTTATGCCACAGGTCATGGATAAGGCCGGTGTTATGCCACAGGTCATGGATAAGGCCGGTGTTATGCCACAGGTCATGGATAAGGCCGGTGTTATGCCACAGGTCATGGATAAGGCCGGTGTTATGCCACAGGTCACGGATAAGCTTTCACGGTTGTCCTGTGAAGGTCAGAACGTTTTTTGATGTGATTGTGTTCTTGTGAGTAAATGTTTTCTTTTTCGAGGGGGGGGGATGGGGATGTAGCCAGTTTGGTCATTGAAAAACGTTCGCTATAAAGCAAGATGTGTTGTGGAGACATTTACTGCGCGTAAAACGCTTGAGACTTCCGTTTTCTAAAGCTGGCACGTAATGATACGTACGTTCCTAGTTCTGAGTTGAATTATAACTCATCTACAGCTCTCATTTAATATCTAGTCAGAGTCACGATGTTCTCATCCAATGCATTGGAAGTCGTCACTTGCAACCTCTTACCGGACACCCCCGGTCCAGCTCGCCACCGCACCCGTGGACCGACGCTGACCGGACGTCCTCTAACGGGACACTCCCGGTCCGGTCCGGCTCGCCACCGCACCCGTGGACCGGCGCTGACCGGACGTCCTCTGACCGGACACTCCCGGTCCGGCTCGCCACCGCACCCGTGGACCGGCGCTGACCGGACGTCCTCTGACCGGACACTCCCGGTCCGGCTCGCCACCGCACTCGTGGACCGGCGCTGACCGGACGTCCTCTGACCGGACACTCCCGGTCCGGCTCGCCACCGCACTCGTGGACCGGCGCTGACCGGACGCCCCCTGACGGGACACTCCCGGTCCGGTCCGGCTCGCCACCGCACCCGTGGACCGGCGCTGACCGGACGTCCTCTGACCGGACACCCCCGGTCCGGTCCGGCTCGCCACCGCACCCGTGCCGTCGGCACTGACCGGACGTCGTAACACGGTCTAACTGTGATGAGAGGCTTCGGGCACCGTTACAGGCGCGCTGGCCGCGCCGGGTTCGCATCGGTGCAGCCCCTGGCCGCGGCGCCGCCGGCCTGGCCTGGGCCGCCACGCCGCTGCAGCACGCCTGGGAACGCTGATCCATCGACGCCAAACAGACGCGGCGAATCGCAATTTGGCCCGATGCGATGGGAGTTTTGGAGGCTCGTGGGTGCTGCTGGCGTCATTTGCACGGCTTGACTGCGTTGCAGAATGGTTATCAGGTAGCACCTCAGGAATGTTTATGGTCGTGGAGGAGAACGTACCTGCTTGGCTATCCGTCGCCCACAGGCAATCATTGGTTGACTTGGTGTGCTTCCACGTGTATGTGCACGTAATTCCATTGCCTGCGCCCTCTTTGGTGACGTGATATGTGAAGAACCAAAACGATGTATGCAATATGGATGCCCTTTGCTCGGGAGGGGGTCAACTTAACCCCCAAGAGATCTCGAGAACTAAGAAAGCTAGAGGGACCAAATTTACAGGGTGTATTGACCTATATGTGAACTTACTTAAGTCAAAGTTTTAGGTTCCTAGGTCACGAAATTCGGGTCAAATAAGGTGAAACAATGTCACATTTCAGGCTCGTCTTCGAAGTGCCCCTAGAACCTAAATAACTGTTTCTAAGCAAAAGATCACATGCTCATCTAAGGTCAGTGACCTTTTTTGACCTTTTGAAGGTCAAGGTGACCAAATTCCTACAAAAATGCTCTGAGTTTTGCAGTTGTGTAACCGACAAAGATTACGCTAGGCAGCATGTTCCAAAAGCAAAATGCTGCCCTGGGTCATTTCTGATTAATGACCTATTTTGACCCCAAAGAAGTCCATGAAATATGTATAATGCGGTTCCTGCTATCCATAAATTCGAAATGAGCACCAGAATCTATCCCGTACAGAAAACACTAGAGTAATAAAACGGGCTGGTTTTGACCTTGGTCTGACCTTTATATATGACTTTAGGTCAACGTAATTTGCTTTTTCAATATTTGTGTTGCCTAAGAAAGCATCTCAGAGATGTATGGCTTCGTCTAACACTCCGTTGTTGCATCAGATTGAGCGATTCCCTAGAAATTGGCTTTGCTGAAACCATGACCTGACTTGACCTACCATAGGTCGACGACCTTAGAAGGTACATCCAAATTTTAGATACCAAACGATCCGCTATTGAATTGTCTACAGCCATGCAAAATTTGGCGCCGCTACGCCGCGCCGTTCGGAACCTATTCTGGAAAAACCTGGGGGGGGGGGGGTCAATTCGACCCCAACCCGAGCGCGTGTTAAGAGTAGAGTTTTCATGTTGACAAATATTGATCTTCAATATAATGGGAGGTACTGGGTAATCGACGTTATTAAGCAAAAATTGGTTACATTGTCAACACTCGTCGTTTTAAGTTGTGCCTATGATCACAACCTATCGTGATCACAACCACAGCTCAAACGTCGAGCTATCATACATTGCTGTACAATGGAGTCAATATTACTACAATGGAGCCAATGTTTGCTTGATAATGAAAGTGGGGAATCGTGCCATGTTTTCGCCAAATAACAAATACATGTTTCTTGCATTAGCAGCAATATAGGCAAACTAGTGACTATCACGATATGAGCAATGGAGGCAAATCAGCGGCCCAGCGGTCCCTGTGGCGCTGTCATCAGGACTGTGGACCGGCGCTCTCCTGATTCAGTCAGCAGTCCCTGTGGTGCTGTCATCAGGACTGTGGACCGGCGCTCTCCTGATTCGGACGGCGGCCCCTGTGGCGCTGTCATCAGGACTGCGGACCGGCGCTCTCTTGATTTAGTCAGCGGTCCCTGTGGCGCTGTCATCCGGACTGCGGACCGGCGCTCTCTTGATTCGGCCAGCGGTCGCTGTCACGCTGTCGTCAGGACTGCGGACCGGCGCTCTCCTGATTCGGCCAGCGGTCCCTGTGGCACTGTCGTCAGGACTGTGGACCGGCGCTCTCCTGATTCGGCCAGCGATCCCTGTGGTAGTTTCGTCTTTGTGACCACAGCGCCGGCCCTCTCCTGATCTGGACCAGCGGCCTCAGTGGCGGTCCTGTCATCGGCGCCGCGGTACCAGCGCTCCTCCTCCGGCCCCGGTCAGACCGCACCAGCCGGGCTGGGCGGTGTAGAGACGGCGAGAGCCAGCCGGACGGGGCAGCGTAGGTACAGCCCCACCAGCCAGGCGGGCGGTGTTGGGACGGCCCGAGCCAGCCGGGCGGGGTGGTGTAGGTACAGCCCCACCAGCCAGGCAGG